CACTTTTTTTTTTTGAGTTGGAATCTCACTCTGTCGCCCAGACTGGAGTGCAGTGGCATGCTCCCGGCCACCGCAGCCTCGACCTGCTGGGCTCCAGTGATCCTTCCGCCTCAGCCTTCCAAGTAACTGGAACTACAGGCGCGCGCTACCACATCTGGCTAATTTTTTTATTTATTGTAGAGATGAGGTCTTGCCAAGTTGCCCAGGCAGGTTTCGAACCTGTGGGCTCAGGCAATCCATCACCTCAGCCTCTCAAAGCGCCAGATTACAGGCTGAGCCACCGAGCCCGGCTCCCACTCTTTTCTTTTTTTGAGTTGGATTCTCACTCTATATCCCAGGCAGGAGGGCAGTAGCTCACTCATGGCCACTGCAACCTCGACCTGCTGGGCTCAGGTAATCCTTCCTCCTCAGTCTTCCAAGTAGTTGGAACTATAGGCGTACGCCACCACGCCCGGCTAATATTTCTTGATTTATTGTAGAGATGAGGTCTCACCAAATCGCCCAGGCTGGTCTTGAACCTGTGGGCTCAGGCAATCCTCTCATCTTGGCCTCCCAAAGTGCTGGGATTATAGGCATGAGCCACTGCACCTGGCCTTGTGTTTCCATTTTTACAGACTACTCTTATTGCATCTCACACACTGCAATAGTAATTGATTGTTTTCGATGTCATCTTTGCTAAGCAGTATCCTTCCTTTCCAGTGTCTGATTTTTTTCCCCTATTCCTAGTTTCTAGGTCAGCCTCTGCATACCCTAGATGCTGCATCAGTGGACCCACAAGGTGGGGTAAATTCAGTGCTGCACTTGGATAACTCTTTTTCTGCCCTTAGATGTCCCTCCCTGGAATTGAGTACTAGCCTTATCCTGATTTTTTTGGACCTCACCTCTCTCCCTACTAATATCTAACCAGGACATGAGAGTGGTAATTTTTTCCTAGAAGATCTTAAAATACAAAATGTTCAGTCCCTTATACCTTTAAGAGGTGGTTTGGAAATTGAGGCACAGGCCAGACCTTGAGGGAACGGGGATCCAGGACACATCAAGTTGATTGGAGCAGTTATGTTTGGTTGTAAATGTTGGGAGTGTAGAAGGCCAGAGAGGTGAGGGTTAGGATAGGGTTCACCCAGATGGAGAGTGAGATTACCTTGGTATAGTTATACTAGTTGCATTAAATAAATCTGATGAGAATCTTATAGACATTTGTCAAAGGAACACATTCTGGAAAGAGAATTAACAAGGAAGGAAATTGATATGTAGATTAATTTTCCATTATTACATATATAATTAATTTTTTCAATTTGAACAATTTTTTTTCTATTTAAGTAAAAAAACAATTTGCTAATATAAAACATCCAAAATGAATTCTGAAACACAAAACAATATTTATTCAGAAAGCGAGACAAAAGGGGCATGGGGTGGTGGGACCGCCTTCATTTCCCCCCCCAATGAAGGAGGTCCCACCACCCAGTGCCCCTTTTGTCTCGCTTTCTTGCTGCTCCTTCTCACTCTTCTCTTTCCCTTCTAGTGCCCCCCTCAAATTCTCAAGAAAGGACTTGTGAACCACTTTAAAAGAGCCCCATGATGCAAAAGAAAAAAATCATCCACAAACTCCCTCCATCAGCAGGGCAGGCCTACTAATCCTAGTCATGATGAAGTTCACCCCAGGGCAGTGATGCAAGGTGAGGCCATAGACGCCCAGGGAGATAGGCCATCTTCCTGCCTCTTGATCTCACCCATCACAGAGAGAGGGTGGAGATGGGATCAGAGAGGTGGGGGTGAGAGGTCAGGAACAAAAAACCCCCAGCGGACTCCTACTGGTGTGTGCAGGTGCTCATATTTGCTGGAATGAACTTTGGAGGGCTAGGGATATGGGGAAAGAACATTAGCTTTTTAACTTTCGGAGTCGCTTGACTTATTGAAAAAAGCAAGTAAAGGGCCCTAAAATGTAAACAGTTTTTTTTTTTAGGAACTGGTATTTACTATCAAAGTCATATTAAACAATGTATAATAAAGGCTTAGTTTAAAATAAAAAGGAAATGAGGCTGGGGCACAGTAAAAGGAGGCAAAAGACAGCAAAAGGGAGAGGAAATGAATGATAAGGGATCGAAAAATAAAGGTGACATTACAAATGGAAGACCATCTGTAAGGCTAGTACCTCCCTTTCTAAATGTTATTTTTTTTTTCTGAGTTGGAGTCTCACTCTGTCACCCAGACTGGAGTGCAGTGGCCGCTCCCGGCCACCGCAGCCTCGACCTGCTGGGCTCCAGCGATCCTTCCGCCTCAGCCTTCCGAGTAGCCAGAATTACAGGCGTGCACTACCACGCCCGGCTAATTTTTTGATTTACTGTAGAGATGAGGTCGCGCCTGCCCAGGTGGGTCTCGAACCCGCGGGCTCAGGCAATCCACTCACCTCAGCCTCCCAAAGGCGCGGGATTACAGGCTGAGCCACCGAGCCCGGCTTATATGTTATTTTTTTAATCATGAAAACAGAGCTAGGGAGGGAGGGTTAGGGTGCGGAAGTCAGTCAGGTCAGGCGTGCATCAGTGTGTGATCTGGAAGGTGGGCGGGCAGGGAGGCACATGGACATTCACACCCTGGCTACTCCAGTCCTGTCCCAGGTGGGTCCTGCTGCCTCCCGCTTAGTCAGGAGAGCCAAACTGGGCTTGGGTTGCCCTGGCAAGTGAAGGAGTGGTGCTGGTTGTGGCCCAGCAGGTGGCAGCACTCCCCCAGGTGCTGCCTCGTGGAGGTTGGGGTTGAGTCAGGTACCTGCTGAGCAGGCCCTCCATGACAGACACTTGCTACCTACTTCTGAAGGTCCTTATTAAGCACACTTGGGCGTAGAAGCATCTCTTGGTTCCATCTGGGAAGCTTGGAAAGCCAGTCTGTTTAGCTGTTCTTCCAGGAGGTTTGGCCAGCAGGTGACACATACAGAGCAAAGGCCTTGGGAGGCAGGGGGCAGATTTGGGGGGTTTTGTATTCTGTCTTCACTTACAACAGCTATGTAGGTAACACACAAGGGAGAATCTTGGTAGCTGTGTTTATTTTTACAAAATAGTAAGTTCCCTGCATATGATCGAGTTTCATTCTAAGACCGTGTTTTTAAGTCTAATTTGTTCACAAGTCCAACAAAGTTAGCCTAGGTACCCAACTAACACAATTGGCTATATAGTACTGTACTGTAATAGGCTTATAACACTTTTCACACACATAATATATTTTAAAAATGAACAATACTATACAGCAAAGTACACAAAAGCACAACCACTTATAAAGGATGTACACACATGACAACATATGCCAGACATGTGAACTAACTTATGTGATTGGACATGTGGACACACATTAGCATCTTTGAAAGTTCACAACTTGAAGGTTTGTATGTAGGGGACTTACTGTATGAGAAATATTAGAGATTTTTTTTTTTTTGAATTGGAGTTTCACTCTGTCGCCAGGCTGGAGTGCAGTGACATACTCACAGCCACCTCAGCATTGACCTGCTGGGCTCTAGTGATCCTTCCACCTCAGCCTTCCAAGTAGCCAGAACTACAGGTGCACGCTACCACTCCTGGCTAATTTTTGATTTATTGTAGAGACGAGGTCTCGCCAAGTTTCCCAGGCTGGTCTCAAACCTCTGGGCTCAGGTAATCCACTCACCTCAGTCTCCCAAAGTGCTGAGCCACTGAGCCTGGCCTAGAGTTGTTTTTTTTTTTTAAATACAGAGAAATACAAAGATGAAAACTAACAGTGGACCATAACCTCCTCACTAAGATGAACCCTGTTGGTAATAAGAATGATAACAAAATAAGACCTGAGGTTTGAGCATTTTAATTGCAGAAAGGTAAAAAACAAGAAGTAAATTCTTCCTTCCCTTCCACTCTCATCTTCTCCAAAGGAAATCACTTTACATTTCTAATACTTGCCTTGAGAAAAATAAAATAAAATGACAACTGTACATTGCCTGAGAATCTATAACTGTTGATATTTCATTTATTTATTTGTTTGTTTAAACCCAAAGTGATCATATTATATGCACTGTTCTGAGCCTTACTTTTTTCACTGACTTTATCCTAAAGATCTTTGTGTTTCAGCACATGGAGACCTCGGTCTCCTGGTTGATAGAGATTTTGGTGGGTTCCAGTGGGGGGCTAGTAGAAACAAAGTTGCGGTAAGCATCCACGTATATTTATTTTGGCAAACTTTTACAAGTCCAAATTCCTAGAACTGGGTCAAAGGGAAAGTACATTTAAAATTTGATGGCTAAATTTTCCTCCAGATAGTTTGCTCCAGTTTACATGCCCACCAAGAATGCATAGAGAGTACTGCTTACAGTGGCTGTAGAGAGACCAGGATATTGTGCTCTTGCCTCTTCCAGGAGCCCTTTGACATCTGCAGTGGTTAGATGGAGCACTCAGCAGGAAGTAGGCCCTGCTCCTGGGCTGGGCGGCAGTGACTGGCTCCTTCCGTGGCCTTTGTCACCTCCATTGCAAATTTCTTTTTTTAGAATAGAAAAACAGGTTTATTGAGTATGCTGCAAGGGGGCAAGCAATAAGGGAGTGGTCCACCACAAAATTTCTATAGTGGCTGTGAAGTGGTAGCCAGCGGTCTCTCTTTTAGGTGGGTATGGGATTTCCCTTTTTGTTTTATTTATTTATTTGAATTGTAGTCTTACTCTGGCGACAGCCCAGGCTGGAATACAGTGGCATGCTCACGGCCACTGTAAGCTCCATCTGCTGTGCTCAGGTGATCCTTCCCCCTCAGCCTTCCAAGTAGCTGGAGCTACAGGCTAATATTTTGATTTGTTGTAGAGATGAGGCCTCACCAAGTTGCCCAGACTGGTCTCGAACCCCTGGGCTCAGGCAATCTTCTTGCCTCGACCTCCCAAAGTGTTGGGATTACAGATTTGAGCCACCACACCTAACTTTGCTTTTTGTTTTAGTAAGACTTTCCTGTTCGTCCCTGAGGAGAGAGAGGGAATAACCATATCTTCTGTCTGACTCTTCCAGGTGAAGAAGGCGTTTAGGCAGAAGGCCCTCTCCTGCCACCCAGACAAAAATCCAGATAATCCCAGAGCAGGTGAGACTCTCCTGAGGGTATGGGGAGAAAGAGACCCACTCACCTGGGCATTGTGTTTCCTGATCTAAGCTCTGCATGTGGATGCTGTGGAGTGTAGACACACATGGTCTGGCTCTGGGCACTGGGTCCCAGGGCTTCCCTTCACGTTAGGGGTATCTGGTCAGTTGCTCACCTCTCCTTGGGTATGGGATTTCCCTTTTTGTTTTATTGCTGGTCTGTCATCTGCTGATGTTGGTTTTTCTGCCATCCTGTGGCTTCTCTGAATTGTCTTTTTAAGGGGGCACAGCATCACCAAGTCTAATATTATTTTTCTTCTCCTTCTCTTTTTGATCCTTATGTTTAGCGGAACTCTTCCACCAGCTATCTCAGGCTTTGGAGGTGCTGACTGATGCTGCAGCCAGAGTAAGCACATCTTCCTTTATCTGAATTGTCCCCCGTGGTTAGAGACCACGGCTGACCTTCATCTCAGCCCTCTGCCCTCTGCCATGTGGCACAGTCCTTGCTGTCTAAGTCCTGGAGACCCAGTCACCAGGCTGCTGCCCTGATAGCTCTGGGGCTAGGACACAGGGACCAGGCAGATTGCTAAGGCTCTGTCCTCATTTTCTGTGTTTCTTTCTCCTGCCAGGCTGCGTATGACAAGGTCAGGAAAGTCAAGAAGCAGGCAGCAGAGAGGACCCAAAAACTTGATGACAGAAGGAAGAAAGTGAAACTTGGTAGGTAACATCATTGTGCTGGGTGGCCTGTGGTTTCTCTTGACCGTTTTCATTCATTTCCCTCACCTTTCTTCCTGAAGCTTTAGTTCCAGCTACTCAAAGCCTCTCGACTCAGGCTCTGGATAAAACTCTGTTCTATTTTTTTTTTTTTGAGTTGGAGTCTCACTCTGTCGCCCAGGCTGGAGTGCAGTGGCACACTCATGGCCACCCCAGTGTCGACCTGCTGGGCTCCAGCAATTCTTCTGCCTCAGCCTTCCAAGTAGCCAGAACTATAGGTGTGCGCTACCATGAATGGCTAATTTTTTATTTATTGTAGAGACGAGGTCTCCCCAGATTGTCCGGGCTGGTCTTGAACCCACGGGCTCAGGTAATCCACTTGCCTTGGCCTCCCAAAGTGCTGGGATTACAGGCTGAGCCACTGAGTCCAGCCCAAAACTCTGTTCTTAGAGGTTGGTTCCTGAAGACACTCAAGAATAATAGTGAGTAATTGTCTAAGCATTGTGGCAAATGCTATATTGACTCCTTCAGTTATCACAGCTATCCAAGGAGGTGATTACTAAACCAATTTTTTTAATAGACAAAGGAACTATGGTACCAAAAGTTTAAGAACTTATAGAAACTGGGATTTAAACTCATACAGTGTGAGTAAAATCAGTGCTTATATTCTTCACCATGCCCAGCTGGGTCTTTTGTTTGTTTGTTTGTTTTTTAGGTGATGGGGTTGTGCTCTGTCACCCAGGCTGGAATGCAGTGACCCGACCATAGTCCACTGCAACCTCAGACTCCTGGGCTCAAACAATCCTCCTGCTTTTGCCTCCGAGGTAGCTGGGACTATAAGCACTGCCACCTCACCCAGCTAATCTTTTAATATTTTTTGAGAGATAGAGTCTTGCTATGCTGCCCACTCTGATCTCAAACTTCTGGCCTCAAACAATCCTCCTGCCTTGCTTGGCCTCTGAGTAGCTGGGATTACAGGTGTGAGCCACCGTGTCTGGCCAGGTCTTTCTTTTTTTTTGAGTTGGAGTCTCACTCTGTCACCCAGACTGGAGTGCAGTGGCCACTCCCGGCCACTGCAGCCTTGACCTGCTGGGCTCCGGCGATCCTTCCACCTCAGCCTTCCAAGCAGCTGGAACTACAGGCGCGCGCTAGCACGCCTGGCTCATTTTGATTATTGAAAGAGGTCTCTAGAACATTTTCATTGGCCCAATAAGATTGGTCCAAGCATTCTTTACTCAAATTTTCTCCCTTTTTTCTTGCCTATTCAATATCCACATATTTTAATGTGTGCATGTACCATCCCAATGTATCCATTTTTGTATTTTAAAAAGGAGGTTCTAGGTGAGTAAAGTGCACAAACCACCCAGGCCTGAGAGAAGGGCTTCTCACTGCAGCTGGCCAGGCTTAGGGCCGCAAGCAAGTCCCAAAGGCTCTAGGACCCAGGGTGATGTCCTCACACAGTCTGCGCACCCCTGTAGGAGCCACTGTAGCCAGGTCCACAGTGAGGCTTGGTAAACGTGAGTTGAGCGAGGAGATAAAGGAGACAGGAAGAACTTAAGCTCAGTGGTAGTGAAGGAATCGGAGCCAAGGCAAGGCCCGAGTCAGGCTGTGGTGCCAAACCACAGGAACAGAGGCCAGCATCTCCACCCTCTGGCATTCCTGACATGGTCCCAGGTTGCTGACATAAGCACACACCTGTTCCCTGTTCACTGATTGGAGAGAACCAGCTTGGTCAGTGTGAGCTGCTTTAACTTTTCCAGACCCCTGGCCACTCCACTGGAGCCCACACTTCTTCTGTGCTGTGACTTTTCTCAATGGAAATTAACTTGGGAACAGTCATAGAGGGAGGAGGCAGAGTTACTGTGTGGTCTTATCTGGTCTTATCACAGTATGAGCCTGGGGGGAGGCAGCCAGAGCCGGGCAGGCCACATAGAACCTGCGTAGATCATCACTTGGGTCATTCAACCCTTGTGCCTAGACCTGGAGGCCCGAGAACGGCAGGCCCAGGCCCAGGGGAGTGAGGAGGAGGAAGAAAGCCGGACCACCAGGACACTAGAGCAAGAGGTGAGCATCCAGGCATGCTGCCCTGAGGGCCTTCTGTAAAAGGAGGAGGAGGATGGACCTGGGTGGCTGTCAGAGCTGGTGAGGGCATGCTCTTTCCACCTCTGTGGAAGCTGGGTCATTTATCCCACCCACAGGTTGCTGAGCCCTAGCTTGCAGGTGGAAGCTCCCAGGGACCTTTACAAGGTGAGCCAACCTGGAATTGGATCTGCACAGAATTATCACCCCCCACCTCCCGCTCTGCAGATCGAACGCCTACGAGAAGAGGGCTCCCGGCAACTGGAGGAACAGCAGAAGCTGATCAAGGAGCAGATACGCCAAGAACGTGACCAGAGGTTGAGAGGTTAGGGTCTGTCACACCCGCCTATCTCCTCCTCCAAGGCAGCTCCAGATTGCTAGAGTAGCCACACTGGCTGCTTAGTGGAGTTGTTGTGGAGGCTTTCACCTGCTAGAACCCTGGGGCACCCTGTGGCAGCCCACTCTGACACATGCCACTTGCCCCTTCTTCCTACCTCTCCTGGGCCTATTTGCTTTTTACTCTGCCTGAGATCTCCTGATCACATTTGTCTTAGTCTCAGGCAGAGGTGGCTCTATTTTAGAGCAGATCACCAGGGGGAAGGACCCTGGGATACTTTATTCAGTAGAACTACATGGTCATTATCTCTGCCTCCTGCCCCCAAAAGGTGCTCCTAGCTTCTCATTTGGAGAGTGCTAACAGGTGGCCTTCAGGAGGTAACTGGGCAGACCACTCCTGGGGTGACAGCTTCTCTGAGGATGGGAGTGGCATTGCATCTACTTTCCCCACTGGGCCCTCACCAGGGCAGGGCAAATATTGCCCTTGGTCAGGAGTGACCTCTTCTAGGTCCTTCTGGCTCTGGGCTGCATCTCCTTTGGGAGAACTTCTGATTCCCTCATATTCTACATTTCTTCTTTTCCCAATATTTCCAGGAAAGTCAGAAAATACTGAAGGCAAAGGAACCCCCAAGCTGAAGGTAAGCTTGGACAGGATCTGTGGGTCACATCGCACTCACACCACCTTCTCTCAGCAAGAACAGATGCTTCCTATGGCTCAAGGAGTTTGGCAGAGACTCTGAGTCTCTAAGTGGAGTCAGCACCACTACCATACCCTTTCTGTCTCCAGCTGCCTAGAGACCAGGACTACTGCTCAAAGCTTGCCACAAAAGGCTGCTCTGAGCCTTGACAATCGCAGAGCAGGGCATCCCCCAGAAGCCCTTTCAGGAGAGTATCTTCTAGGGCTGGAAACATCCCTGGGGTAAGCAGGCCACCTGCCTGTCAGTTGCCAAGGGGAAAATATGTTTTTGGTGTTGCTCCCTAGATTGCAGGTGCTTTGGAGACTTGGCTTTTGTGCTCAGACCCTAAGCTCAGTTGTGGGAGGTTCTGTTTAGCCAAGGGTAGGTGTTTCATGATGCTGTCTTTTCAGCTAAAATGGAAGTGCAGGAAGGAGGATGAGTCAAAGGGCGGCTACTCCAAAGATGTCCTCCTGCGGCTTTTGCAAAAGGTGTGCCCTGTTGATTTTCTCTCTTTCCTGTCATTTCATTCCACATCTCAGCCCACAGACCAGGACTCTCTAAGCCTGAACTTCCCTTAACATTTCCACCTGCGTTTTTTTTTTTTTCCTGTCTCATAGACCATAGGATGACCTGGAGACTTCTCCCCAGGTCACTGTCCTCCTTTTACTTGTGTTGCCATGTGCCCTCTCCAGCCTGGTCTCTCCTTCACTGCCTGGGTCTAGACCTTACCATCCTTGGAAGCAAAGGGCGTGGTTGAGTGCATGAGAGAGAGGAGGTGGGTGTCTGGCACGAAAGCTTCATCCTCTTCACCACCTTCAATCAGCTGAAGCAGCTGTGTGATGATACCAGTCCTTTGCTCATCTCTCCTTTGCTGTCCTGCATTCCTGCAAACAAACTTCTTTCTTTCCCATCCCTGATCTCACTTCTGTGGAATCCTCGAAATAAGAAGTTATTCCCCAGCTGAAAATGCCATGGGCCCAGGCAGCTTGTTTCTCTGGCACAAGCTAGGCTATTCTGAAGGCTGAGCTACACTTACTGGGACCTTTATGTCCCCACAGTATGGTGAGGTTCTTAACCTGGTGCTTTCCAGTAAGAAGGCAGGCACTGCCGTGGTGGAGTTTGCAACTGTCAAGGCTGCGGTGAGTACTGCATGAGGCTTGGGGGCCACTGGTGACCCTGTCAGTCTAGGGCAGGGACCTGATTCTGTGGGCCTTCTGAGTCAGATGATCCACACGCCCAGGGGATCTCTGGGCCAGCTCAGAGACCAGGCTCCCTGCATAGGCCCGACTCCTGGGAAAAGAAGCTCTGCATAGGGATGAGGGGGAATGCAGGCTGATGCTTAGTTCCCTGCTGGCTTCTCACCCCCTCCACCCTGCACCCCTTGAGTTTGTGAGCCCCGGTATTGCCCTACTGCCCTTCGTGGTCCTTTGTTCCCCTAAATCAGAAGGCGCATCCCACCACTCTCCCACAGGAAAGGTTGAGACTTTAATGCCCCATTGTTTGAAGGCTGCTGAGGTTGCCCAGCTCTGCTCAGAGGACACGAACGCTGGTTCTGTTCTTTCTATGGGGTAGAGAACTCTTTATAGCTGATGTGACGGATGGGGCCAGGACTGGATGTGTGTTTTTGCAGGAGCTGGCTGTCCAGAATGAAGCTGGTCTGGTTGATAACCCTTTGAAGATTTCCTGGCTGGAGGGACAGCCCCAGGGCACGGGGGACCCCAGGCACCCAGGACTGTCAAAGGTAAGGGGCCAGGTCTCACCCCGATGGGTCTGCCCAGGACTTGGGGGAGCTTTTCCTATTTGGGCTCCTCTTAAGCCCCTTCCTTCCTAATTCAGGTCGTTGGGCATCAAGTGAGATTGGCAGGAGGGGCAGGAGTATGATCTCATGTTGACTCCTTGTTCTCTCTGAGGGCCAGAGGGACCCCAGCCTACATAGTATTAGTCCTTATGTTCCCTCCATAGCTGTCTTCCAGTGGAACTGTCAGCCTTACCAAAGGGAAGTTCTGGGCCTGTAGGTTGCTTGCCTGTGGTGTGAATCATTTGCAGCTTAGGTGACCCTGTGCCATAGGGAAGGGGCAGGTGACCGGGGTCCCTTCCGACCTCTTGTTTCCCAGATGTGTCTCTAGTTGCCCTAGCCAGGGCCCGACTGTCAAGAGGCATTGTCTCCTCCTTAGAAATCACACTGGCCACCCTGCTGACCCTGAGGTGCTGCCTGCCTAGAGTTTGGGAGCCCCGCTTGTGGTGCAGTGTAGACCTTCCAGCTGCTGCTAACCCAATGCTAGCTCTTTGTTCTCACAGCTCCATGATGGCTGTTTCTCCCCCAAGCCCCACCAAGGCCCTGGTGTTTTCTGGCCTGGAAGCAGAGGCTGGGGCTGCTGGGCTCCTGGCCACACCTGCCACCACCTGCCCCCACCTTGGTGGGACAGACTGCTTTGGGAGCAAGAACTAGCAACCTGGCTTCCGTCTTGTCTGCAGGGGCCTCGGGCCTACCTGGTGTGTCTGCAGCCCCTCAGGCTGGCAGGAGGCTGCTCTCCTACCTGCGCCTCCACCTGGCTGGAGGGACTGGAAGGAAGCTTTCTACAGGACCCTGAATGGAGGGGAACATGGACTGGTGTGCGCTTAACTCAGGACCCTGCTTTAGAGACCTTATCCCCCACCCTGACAAGTCCCAGGATTTCACAGCCCTAGATAATACTCCACAGGTTGTGTTAGAAATAATTTTATTCATTCTCTCCTGCATCTACAGAGGAGCTTTTCAGCTTAGCACCTGCACACAGAGGAGGAAAGAGGGAAGCTACTGATTTGGGTTGTGGAGGGCTGTATGTGTTGAAGTTTCCCTCTCCCCCTCTGCCACTCTTGGAGACGTCTAAGAGGCTGTCACTATGTGGCCTAGGGAGCATTGTTGGACTCTAGTTTCACATCTTCTGACCAGGCCATGGAGCAGGGCAGTGGCACAACCTGTGGCCTTGACCTGGTGGGCTTGGGCTGGTTGGCAGGCCTGTTGTCAGAGGGTTCGGGCAGGCAGAGCTCCCCCGTCCTGGGGAAGGTTCTGGAGGCCAGCTGTGCCTCTTTTTTTTAGGTTGAAAGTTATGGATAATTTAGAAAGTAAATTAGAGAGAGAGAAAAAGTGAGAGAGGGAGGAGAGGGGAGAAAGAGAGGAAGAGAGGAGAGAGAGAGGGAGATAGGGGAGGGAGGAGAGAGAGAGGAGATTCACCTCCCCAAGGTAGGAGAGGGGGCCAAAGCTTAGGAAACACAGTGGTGGCACATGGTCGGCTGGGCATGGTGGCTCAAGCCTATAATCCCAGCACTTTGGGAAGCCAAGGTGAGAGGATTGCCTGAGCCCATGGGTTTGAGACTAGCCTGGGCAACATGGTGAGACCTTGTCTCTACCGTTAAAAAAAAAAAAATTAGCCAGGCGTGGTAGCATGCACCTGTAATTCCAGCTATTTGGAAGGCTGAGGTAGAAGGATTATCTGAGCTCAGCAGGTCGAGGCTGCGATGGCCAGGAGCATGCCACTCCACCCTGGGAGACGGAGTGAGACTCCAACTCAAAAAAAAAAAGAGCACATGGCCACACCATAGCTTAGCAAGGCAATGACCCAGCTGTGCCTCTTTACCATTTAGTACCCATCCCCTGATCCAGTCCTCCTCTCCTAGGCTGAAGAGCTACCATTTTGCTGCATGTGTCCCCCTTCCCTCATGCCGCTGATGGCTCCAGGCTATGCTGTCCAGTAGAACTTTATCCAGTGATGGTCATATCCATCCTGCACTGTCCAGCATGGCAGCCATTAATCATGTGTGGCTCCTGCACATTTGAGATGTGGCTATGGTGACTGAGGAACTGAATTTTTCATTTCTGTTCATTTCCATTTAAACAGCCTCATATAGTCAGTGCCCACCAGATTGGACAGGATCAAGCCTGTCTCCCCTCTTCCCAGGTCTCCCCATTTTCATATTCAGCCTGGGTTGGGCCATTTTTGCCCAGGCTTGTCCTGTGACCTTTCTCTGTTGATGGTGGCTGGGGAACTTGAGCAGGGCACTTGTCTTCTGCACAGTCTGTGTCCTTTGTGCTCCTAACTCACCCCTAGGCCAACCTCTAGCTCTGCTGGCCTCTAGCCTGGTTCCTGTGGTTGCAGGGCATGGCCTTCTTCCCTGGCCTAGCCAGCTTCCTTTAGGGCTCCTGCCAGGAAGTGTCCCCACCATTTCCCCTTGCCTCTGTCCCTCCACTCTGGAGTGACTTAGAAGACTGTGCAGGACCCAGAGGGCAGGCAGAGCCCTGGATTCCGATTCCTGCCCTTCCCTTAATTCACGGCTCTCCCCTCCTTCCCTAGTTCCCTAGGATCCAGCTCTTCCAGTCACCCCAGCTCTGCCCACCCTCACCCATTCAGAATTTGGGCTCGCTGGGAAATTGTTCCCTCAGCATCTGTAGTACTTCCTCAAGAAGTGAAACACCCAGGTCCACTTTGAAGGAGAAGAAGGGGTCACTGAGGTCCGGAGCAGGTGTCTTCTGGAAGGGGGGAGTGTCCACAAGGTCCTCCTCTGAGTACTGGTGGAGGGCACCTGCCAGGGAGAGTGCCGTTGGCAGGGTGGCTGAGTAGGCTGCAGTGTAGGCGTTGGGGGGCTCCAGGATGTTGGGGCAGCTGGAGCTCTCTCGGTAGAGGCGCGGGGGCTTGGGTGGAGCCAACAGGGTGGCCCGGGGCTGCTCGTCTCCCCACAGTGGCAGGCGCCGGCCATCTGGCCTCCCTTGCAGCTCCCGGATGACCTCCCGATTGCTGTACTCCTCGTGGTCACCACCGGCCGTGCTGGCCTGGCTAAGCACACTGCCCTGCCTCTGGAGTCGCCGCGGCCGCCCCAGGCTCAGCCGCTTGAAGAAGGAGGCGTTACGGAAGGAGCCTTTCCGCCAGGTCTCCATGGGGCCCAGGGGAGCCAGCAGACGGGCGTTCAAGAGAAGCAGTGAGCATGTGGGCCCTGCTGGAGCAGTGAATGCCAAGAATCAGGGAGACATCCTCAGTGGGCTAGAAGCAGAGGCCTTGGGGTTTCTGCTCCACGCAGACCTGTGGTTGGTAAGGTGAGGTCCTGCGAAGATGGCATTTTTGGGGGGTCCAGGAGAGCAGAGAGCTAGGAATTCCTGGTGACAAGTTTCCCACAGGGACAGGAGTGGCCTAGTTACTTGATAGGGCAGTGGAAAAAACCCCAAGAGGAAGAAGCAGCACTTACTGAAGCCCGGAGTGAGGGCAGCCCGGTGGAGGCAGAGATGGATCCTCTGGGACTGTGTTCTCCTTCCAGGCAGGTGGCAGATGGGCCTGAGCTCGCCCTCTCTATCACTCTCCTGGTCCCTGCGCCGACTCTAGGGCAGTGTGGGGCTGTGCCCTCCCTCTCTGCCAGCAGCTCCCGGACTCTGATTAGTAGCTTGGCTGTTTGTGGCAGCGTATGGCTGAGATGTTTATGTCTTCAGCTGACTCAGTCAGGTGGGAAGCCAGGTTTCATGCTCTTAGGTAATTGCAGCATCCGCATGCAGGGACTGGGGCAGTTGTGACCAACACCCCAGGGCAGTGGGGAGCTTAAGATTCCTCTGGAGACTCATCTGGGGGCAGCCCTGCTGTATGTGTCACCACACGGCTTCCTTACCACCTCCCCACCATCCTGGGCCCCAGCAAGCATGCCTGGCTGCTCAGCCCAGAGTCTGGGTGGGAGGAGCTCAGGGAGGGTAGGAGTTAATTGAAAGGCAGGCGTGTGGAACCATTGTTGGGGAAGGAAGAGACCTGTCGCTGGTGTGGATGACTCAGCTGGGGCCTGGTGACAGGCCCTCAGTGGCAGAGTCTGCAGGAGTCGGGGAAGGAGGCAGAGGTGGTAACGGGGAACAGCCCCATACCTGTGAAGGGCTCGGCTCCTCCCAGGGCTGGGCTGGCAGCAGGCCGAGGGTGATGCCACGTTTTCTTGGCAGAGCCGCATTGGGGGGGTGCGGGGGTTGGAGGGGGAACTGTTCTCCCCTTGGCCTGACGTCCGGTCTGGCTGCCCAGTTTCCTTGTCCTCGCACAGTTTACCCAGATGGCCTCCAGGCAGGAGGAGAGCAGTTGAGGGCTGGGATCCTGCTGCCTCCTACCTGGCTGTGCTCCTCTGAGTCCCTCTTCTGGGGAGGGGGCTGGGCCACAGGGGGCCACCACAAATTGTCAGCCCTACTTGGGCCAAGCCTAGCAGGTAGACCTGGCTGGGGGAGAGGAGGGGTGGAGCTGTCGGGAGGAGCCAGAATCCAGGCTGAGTAACACTTCCTGTTTCTGTACACCCCTCACTCCAAACCAGTTGGCCGGGGCCTCGCACCTCGCCCCCAGCCACTCCCTTTTTATTCCCTGGTCACTGACCACCACATTTTCCTCCTGGCTTGTTCCGTGAGAGCGTTCCAGCATGGTGTACCGCGGAAAGGCCCCTGCATCTTGCAACCCCTGGCCTGGCTCACTCAGCTGGGCTTCACACTTCTCTAAGAAGCTGTTGGGACCACATGATCATACAGCTTCAGCAGCACTGAGGGAGGAAGTGACTTAATTCCCACTGCAAACCTTATCAGGGCATGAAGTGGGTAGCTCAGGGTGCCTTTGTAGAGCTCTTCTCCGCCCCAAAGCCTTAGCCCATTGCAAGGGTTGTTTATTATTCTTTTGATTATTAAAATATTGCACTCCTTAATCCCCCGCACTGGGCTGGCAACATCATAAAAGCTTTGAGCCACGGGCCCTGCCCTCCACCAGGAGCCCTGGTGTATATTTTTAGGAGGCAAGCAGCCTCGAGCCCGAGGGTGGGGCTGTCTGGGGCTGCAAGGAGGGTAGGGCTCCTTCTGCAGCCTCAGCAGGAGCCCGACCACAGGGAGGTGGAGCAGCCAGGAGGGGGCAGTGCTAGCTAGCGTCTAGGCCCAGCAGAGCCAGCGCATCCCTGCGTCTCAGACAACTCCCTGTCCATGGAAACCTGTGAGAGCAGAAGCCTGGGGTGGGGTGGAGGGAAGGCGTATTAGGTAAAGGGCTGACAGGAAATGAAGGGAGCCAGGGCCTGGCCAGAGCACGGGGAAGGGATTCCCACAGAGCAGATGAGCCAGAGGTGCTGGGATGGAAGGGCCTGGGTAAGGGAGGGGGTTGAGACAGCCGGCTGGGAGAAGCCAGCCTGGAGGCCAGAGGCGGGCGGGCTCTGGAGGAACATGGAGAGTCCGGGTTCCAGAAGGAAGTTCCCGGCCCTTTCCCTCCCTCTGCCCTCCTCCCTCCCTGCCTGCTAGACTGCAGCTCTGCCTAGGCCCTGTCCCGCGTCTGGAGTGTGTGCGGCTGTGCCCTGCCGCCCCTGACCCCTCGCTGTCCCCTGTCTGTTCCCCAGGGTTCAGTGCTGTCGGAGAGGGACTATGAGAGCCTGGTCATGATGCGCATGCGACAGGCCGCCGAGCGGCAACAGCTCATCGCCCAGATGCAGCAGGAAGACAAACAGGGGCAGCCCCCATAGCCCCAGCGCCTGCCCTCCCAGCCCAGCCCTTTTCTTAAACATGACCAATAAACTTTTTTTAAAGAGTCTACCTTTATTTGATCCATAGGTTTAGGGTGCTGGGCTCTGCGCAGAGGGCTCCACCCAGGCCTGGGCACCCTGTCTGGGAGGGGGCAAACCCCCAGGGAAGTGCTCCATGGAGGGAGCATCCATGCCTGAGCAGAGGAGCAGCTACTCATCACAGCCCTTCATGCGCTTGGACTAGCTACGCAGGGGCCTCCCACCCTCCACGCCAGGTCCTGGGGCCATTCTCCCTTGGGGTGCTCAGCTCTGGGCCAGGGGCAGCCTGCCCACGCATCACGGCCTCCTCGGAGGCCCTCAGGTCAGGCCTGAAGCAGGAGGGCAGTTGGGAGCGCCAGGGCCAGAAGCAGGTTTCAGAGAAGGCCCATCACTGCCCGCTGGGGCTGGGCTGAGGGCAGTGACGATCTGGGAAGACAGGGCAGTCGGTGAGGCAGGGACTTGGGGGTCGGGGCCCATGGCAGCCCCTCCAGAGGAGGGGTGCTCCAGGGACAAATCAGTGTGAGAGGGTCACTCCTTGTGCAGGCACCACACCAGCGTCTGGCCCACCCCTGTCATGCTCAAGACACGGAAGCCCCTGCGTTCCAGCTTGTCCAGGACTATGCGTGGAGGGTCATTGACGTAGTACTCACAACTGCAAAGAGACAGGGTGGGTGACGTGAGAAGCAGCACACAGAGGAAGCTCCCCAGATAGAGCTAGTCCTGCTGGAGGGAGGCCTGGTCAGGAACTCAGGTGCTTCCTGGGTACCAGGGTGGGTGCTCACTCCCTGCCCCGCCCCGGCTAAGCACCCCACATGAGTTATCTCATGTATTCTTCCCAGTGACCTGGTGCTGGTACCAGGATTGATCCTATGTGGCTGTGAAAACACGAAGAGGGGTGACGTGGGATTCGCAATGTCATACAGATGCTAGACCTGGCATTCCTAAGACAAGAGCCATGCCTGCTCTGAGCACTCCTCTGTCCAGGATGTGCAGCCTGTTCTCCCTGGGCTCGCTCCTCACCAGGCCTCCAGCCCTCTCGCTACCCTGTCTGTCCTGGCCCTTGCTTCTGCATGCCACTCCCTGGCAGGAGAATGCATGGTTCTCCTTTCAGGTTTAGTTGATGCTGAGGGGTCATTAAGCAGATAAAGGGCTCAAGCCCCAAGCCAAAGGGAGGGAATGGCTTCTGGCCCCCAACTTTGACCCGAGGGGCTGGGATCAGCTCACTTTCTTTCCCAATTTTCAACTGGGTCTCACTCTGGCACCTCTATCAGGTGTCCGGAGCCTGTATTGCCAGGATTCTTCCTGCCTGCAGGGTAGGAAGGGGCAACAGAGCAGAAAAGGAAGCAGTGGTCACACTTTAGACGTGAAGCCGCTGTGAAAGACGCCAAGAGAAGTGGCTACATCCCTGGGCAACGGCTGAGCTGGAAGCAGGACCCAGGCTCCCTGTTTCTAGTGCTCAGCCTTGTTACTCAGCCACATCGTTAAGACAGAAACATTTCTCATTGTGCATTGCTTGATGGGGTCCAGCTAACAGATGAGAGGGCCGGCAAGGAACTTATATGAAGGCCTAGGCCCAGGGACACACTCTCTCCTGGGGTTCCGCTAAGGATGAGAAAGCTTTCAGAGCAAGCCCCAGGGGCTTCCAGAAGGCATCAGAGGAGACCAGCCCTACAGAAGACAGGACCCCAGATGCATGCAGGGGCTCTGAGGCTGAGTACTGTTCCTGTGCTTGGTGGCTGTGTCAAGGGAACAGGGGCTGGCAGGGAGAAGACACTGAGGGATGCCACTACTTACAAGTTGTTTCCCAGGACACTTCTCTTTGAGGCCCCCAGATGCTGCATCAGCTCTGGATCCGAATGCTCATCGCCCACCATGGTGGGGCCCACCTCCTGCAAGGTAAGCCGCAGTGGCTGCTTGGCTGGCTGCCTGGTGGAGGTGGAGGGTCTTGCCTCTCCTCCCTCTCCTGCCTGCTGGTTCTGAGTGAGCTTCCCATAAGGGCCAGAGGGGATGGTGGGAACGCTTGGGAGCTGAGCACAAGCTGGGAGGGAGCAGAGCCCACAGCAGCTTGAGCAGAGCACAAGCTGGTCAGAAGGAGCCATGTGGGGCCTCCCTAGCCCCAAAAGCTGAGCTGGGCCTTGCATGACTACTGGGAGCCAGAGAGGAAGAGAAAACATATGTCCACACAGAACTTGTACACAAATGTTCATAGCAACATTGTTCACAGTAGCCAAAAGGTAGAAACAACCCCAAATGTTTGTCAACTGATAAGTGGATAAACAAAATGTGGTATAGCCACGCAATGGAATCTGATTTGGCAATAAAAAGGAAGTCACGATACATGCTACAATATGGATGGACCTTGAGGAGGATGTAAGTGAGCAAAGCCAGTCCCAGAAGCCCTCATCACCTAGAGGCAAGGAGCTCGTGGGAAATGAGGAGTGACTGCCAGTGGGTACGGGGTTTCTTTTGGGGATGTTAGAGATGTTCTAAAATTGATTATGGTGATGGTTGCACGACTCCAAATCTGCTAAAAACATTGATTTGCACACTCAAAATGGGTGAATTTATGGTTATGTGTATTGCATAGCAATAATGCTGTAATTTTTAAAAAAAGAATCACCCGGGAAGGACATCTCCAAATACAGATTCTCAAGACCCAGGAACAGTTTTGACAAGTCTGGGAAGAGGCCTAGGAATCCGCATTTTAACAACGCACAGTGACTGGTTCTCAAACCACTGCCCTAGGGCACTGCAAGCCCTCTCCTGTCACACAGGTAACCCATCTGTCATTCCTTCAGCTCAAGGGAGCTGTGTACTCTGCTGGATCACTGTCCGTGGGGGATGGGGAAGGGGGAGAGAAGAACCCGGCTGCCCCAGTCATATCTTTTTTTTTTTTTTTGAGTTGGAGTCTCACTCTGTCGCCCAGACTGGAGTGCAGTGGCCGCTTCCGGCCACCGCAGCCTCGACCTGCTGGGCTCCGGCGATCCTTCCGCCTCAGCCTTCCGAGTAGCTGGAACTACAAAGGTATGCCACCACGCCTGGCTAGTTTTTGTGATTTACTGTAGTTGCCCAGGCTGGTCTCGAACTCCTGGGCTCAGACATTCCACTCGCCTCAGCCTCCCGAAGTGCTGGGATTACAGGCTGAGCCACTGCGCCCGGTTCATATCATTCTTAGCCTAAACGGGGACTCGAGGCCACCAGAACCTTCCTTTGACAGATAAGGAAACTAACTCCAGAAAAAAGCACATCGCGTGTGATTCCTGGATGGTGTTTCTACCTCTAATCGCACTGCCCCACCTCTCCTTCCTTGCCGAGCCGGGAGCTCCTTCTTCTCTTCCTTTCCTAAAGCCACCTGAGGGTGCCAGCTGGTGGCTGTGCACGGGTTAGAGTCTTGGGACGGGGTTTCGGCGCCTTGGCATGTCCTTTTCTCTTCCAAACCTCTTTCGCTCAGGCGATTCCACTTTTTCCCCTGCGGGTGGATCCGGCAGGGCACTGGGTGCCGCACGTGTGAGGCCGGGGCTCCCTAGGCCCTCCCGCGGACCGGGAG